CACTGCGCTCTGTTCAGACCATATGTCATCTGAAGTTGGTCAAGGATGAGGCAGAATGTCCAGCCAAAATGTTACTCTCAGTATTTATTCAAATGTATACATGTTTGTTAGTGTGCGTATGTACTGTGTTTGTGTGTTGGGGGAATTGAGGCATTATGCGATTGGGGGTGCATAATATCCCCTGCCTTATCTACCCCCCTCTCCACTCCAGTTTATTACCTTGGTTGATCTGATGGTGTAATAATACCTCCTGCCTCTGGCTACGGGAAATGGCCACATGCATTATTCACATATGCTAAGATACTTATTGATGACTCCTTTATTTATATATTACCTCAATGCCAGAGTCATTTCTCACTTTTTCTGCCCCTTACTTTTAATCCTCTGTTTTGACGCTAGCATGGTCTAATGAGCCTCACTCACTCTCAGTTTTCAAATGTGTTGTTCTGCTTTGATATCAATTTTGGCATGAGTTAAACAAATTGGTGTAGAACTGGGGCTAATAATACATGTAGGGGGAGCCCCATTTATTAAATCTACTTAATTTGATATTAAAGCTCATGGCTGCTCCTTTTGTTATAGCTGTTTCCACAGGGGTCTTACACCAGTGCTATTTGAAATTCCACAGAAACCATATCTCCTTTGAGAAAACTGGCACGACATTGCCTTAGGACTCTAGAGCAAGTTTGTCTGATCTCATTTGTGTACATGCCCAGCTTTTCATTAATCTAGTCTTTTAAAATGTTACATATTCTTTTTATGTTGAACATTTTTTGATAATATTTTTTCTCATAAATAAGAATTTTAATGTTGAAGAAGAATTTATAGAACATAACCTGAGAGGCTGACAACGTCAGCACTTTGTAGCAAAAACAAGGTTTTAAAATCAGGGTTGAGCAAAGTAGAGTTAAAACCAAGACTACAATATACTGTGACTCACTAAGTGAAACCACCAGCGCATTCATTGCCCTCCGTGGCCTCCATTGTCATGCCAATAGCTTGTAGCTCCTTCCACCCTGCGGTTGCCACAGCCTTCTCTCTGCAATGCTCCACCTCTACTGGAGAGAGGGCAACAACAGGCAGGTTTTTCTGGATGGTAATAATAAGCAATCACGTCGCTACATTTCAGGATCCTGTGGTGGCTCATTCATCTGGTCTGTGGGTTTATTGGGGGGGCACTTCCAAGTTGTGGATGGTTCTTCACCATTCCCAATTAGCCCTCTCTGTAATATTCCCTTCTCCTTTCTTCTCTGTTTAGTGCTACCTTCTTTAACTTTTCACTTGCACCACTTACCTGTTGCCTTTTTACAGCCTGGAGTTTTACAATATCTGTGTCCTTTGGGGCACTTTTGCATGCAATTAACACAAACACTTGCATAAGTAGTTGCTGGACTGTTTTTGAAGTATCATGGGAACTGACTTGTAATCACAAGGCGATATGGGGTACTCCTACCTTGAGCCATCCTACAAAGACTTCAGAACTGCTTCATTAGATTAGATTAAAGATTTGGGCCCTGATCTTATTTGAAATGAGTAGGGCAGCCAATCTGTTTTGAATAATTCTTTCTGGTTGCAGGTGGGCAAGCTATTCAGCCACACAGTCTTTAGTCACGTTTTAAGAAAATCATAAAAAATATCATCTTAATAGGCAAAGAAGCTGTTTGGTCGCTTTGACATCAGTAGGCACAGAAACATTTTTGATGCATTATACACTTTAAAATGCTAATGTTAAGTAAAGTGACAGTTTTCTTTTGATTTAATATTTATTTAAAACATGCAGAAAAACCTGTAACAGAAACATGCCAAAGTTCAGTTCTACAGGATGTCTTCCATGAGGGCTCTTTTTATTCCCAAATATAAAGTCTGTGTAACAAAGCAGGCAACACAAGACGTTTTCACAGTCTTCTCTGAAGGAATGAATGGAACTGATAGTTGAGATACTGACTTTTATAATGACAATGACAAAGAAACCGTGTTTACTTGCAGATCACGTCTTTGGTGTGTCCCTAATTGAAACAGAAATGTATTTGTTCTGTGTCAAACACACAAGACAGATAACTGCAAAGCATAACTTAAGCATACCTTGAGTTGAAAAACACCTTGATAATAATAATAGTGATAATAATAGTAATTAATTGAACTTTATAGTACTTTTCAATACAAGTAACAAAGTGCTTTACAAGAAATCAATGAAACAGAATTATACTTTATGCTTTTATATACTTGCAGGACATGTCACTGACCATCCCAGTATCTGGGATTAAATGATGTAATAGAGCGAAAAAGAGAAAGTTATAGGAGAGGTCAGGAAGTGGGTAAGAAAAAGCTGGTTGTCCATATAATACACTCGTAATGGTAAACCTGATTCTGCTCTCTCACTCACCGTCATTTTGCCAGATACCAGATACAGTGGGCTGCCCTGGTTCCTTGCTCATCAGCACACACACATGAATGCACACACATGCACACACACGCACACACACACACACACACACACACATACACACACACATACACACACACACACACACACACAGCCTAAACTATCAGATCGAGGCTGAAAACTAGTTTGAACCAGTGACTGCCCCAAATTGGAGACCAGGGCATGACACATAAGGAATGAATGTTTGACCAATGGAGTATTTTTAATTCTTCCTTTTTTAAACTCGGTCAAGCCACCGGTTTTCTTGCAGTAGGCTATTAGTGAATTCACTTCAGAAAAAAGGAGTTCCCTGATGCTCTATCACAAATATCTGTGATTTTCAGTGTTCAGCTTTTGTTTCACTTCACCATTACCTTCAAATCCCAGAATGGGCTGTGATAGTCTCAAGAGAAAATGGGTGAATTAGTTGCTCCATGTAGTTACTTAGCTATAGGCTAATAATAGCAGGGTGAGAGCATAGAGGGTATATAAAGATGGATGACACGTCTCCAATCCTTCCCGTGAAATAAAGCCAAAATAGACCTGATACTCGTGCCACCATCTCACAGTATTGGCATCATTTGTTGCCCAGTGGTCATTGTGTTGTAGAGCCGCAGTATCAAGGTCTTGCTGATATGTATATGGGCTAAGTCGGTCTCAGTGGTCAATCATGACTTCTCTGCCTGTTTTTATAGCATTAAATATATATAACAATAACATATAGAAACTAAACTTACCATCAAAACAGCCTGATCAGAACTTATGAAAATGACAGAAACCACTATTAAACAAATATTTAATTGTATATTTATATAAATATTTATGTACTTTGAATTCTTAGTTCTGTTCCATATCCCATCTACTAACATGGAGGAGGTAGTGTTTATGACCTATACTGCAGACAGCCAGCAAGGTTAGTCATTTATCTTTGCAAATAGTCAATAAGTGAATACAACTTTAGCTGTGTCTACATAATAGTACGAAAATAACAATATTAATGTCAAAATAATATGAGGCAATGAGATCAGAAGAGGGGTTAAATATTCCATAAGCCTGTATATTTAGAAACAGTGCGAGTGTAAGAATAACAGAGCTACTTGAACAAAATAGCATTTACTCTAAAACAAGTCATTTTATTATTGCCCACAATCTTCTGTCTGGATCTGTGCTTTATATAAAGAGCATATCAGTGACGTGTAACAGCTCACAAAAACATCTCCTCAGTCAGAGTGTGGGGGACCTGGAAGTGATGTAACCACATGGGGGATGTAGCTTTTGAGGGCACTTAATGTAAGTACAGCAGCTGTAGGAGTTCGGTGGAAAGGAGGTCTTTTCTTTACACATCCGGATGTGACCAGAGAGGTCAGAGAGTGAGTTGACGACTGGATCTAAGGAGCATGTGGGAACAAAAATAGTTATAGAATTGTCACATTCTTTCTTTCTTTTCTTTTCATTGTGACTTCATCTGATGGAATGATATATTTATAATCTCACCAGGGATAGACCGATTGATGACTCATTAATTACTACTTAAATACACATTTGCTCATTAGTTATTGATACCTCAGATTTATACGATGCTCTCTTTCACAACACAGGCTCTGTTGTTTTCTTATATAATAAGAAGCAATTCTTCATCAAAATAACTTAAACAAACTGCACCTCTTTCTATAATTTGTTGACTTGTCTTAAATCTTTTCATGTATTGATAAAATCCAGAGAAATTCACATTCTTATTCAATATAACAGTGATGTTTCATATAAGTTGCCTTTTAACTGCGTCATATCTGCTTAATGTGGCTCTGCCCGTCTCTGCTTTCACCTCCGGGGAAAATAAAGTATTTTGTACATTAGGAAAAACACACTGCCAGTCAGTTAGCCAATCATCTGTCTTTTCCTTCCACTTTTACTGCATGAAAAACTTTAATACATTATCTAATCTGTGAGTATGATTTGCGCCTGAGCCATGTCAGGTAGATTTTCATTGGCAACAGTGCTGAACTCCCATGATCCCACGCTGCTTCACAATGTCATCAAACTATCTCTCACATATTTTAAGTTTAACATGGAGAGGAGCCATTACAACTGCTTTGTGATGGAAATGTTATTATTTTATACAACCAAGACAATATATTATTTTAAAGCTAAAAAAGTGGATCGTTGCAAATTATTTCAATGAATCGCAACACTAATATTGTTGCATAAAAACTACTTGTCTATAAGTCATGAGTCTTGGACATTTATTTTGGACATACATGGATATTCAGTTCTTCCCTTTCACTGGCTTTTTTTATTTTTTCATCTCTCTCTTGATCTCTCTGTCACTCTCTTTTCTTTACCGTCTTCCTGTGAAATAAATGGTCTGTGCTTCAATGCGTGAGCTTTACTGTTAGCGATATGGTGTTTGATTTGATTTTCCAGCTGAGAGCCTGGCAGCCTCCGTGGGTGCTACTGTGAGAGTGAGTGAGTGAGTGAATGAATGGGGAAACGTGTCTGAATGAAGCTGTGTGTGTGTAAATCCAGACGTGTGCCTGTGTCCTGTGTGTTTATATGCATGTGTTAAACCCTCCACTCACACAATTTCCTCCTCCTCCACAGAGAGAAGTGCCTTCTTTTGCTGACCCCTGGCTCCGCTGAAGCCACCTCTGTGCCTGGCCATGTCTGCTGGAGTTGCCAGCCACACCAGGAACCCCGGGATTGCCGAGCCCTTCCACTGAGCCAGTTTCCACACCAGTGACACCTCCCTCCTTCCCTTCATGTCCTGCTGCCCGCCAGACCTCTCTCCATCCATGTCAGTCAGCCTACTTGTGAGGAAGTCAACCACTCCCACCTCCTTTGCAGACAGAACCTGATAGCCAAGACAGCTTTTATCAGCTACTGTGAGCAGAAGAAGATAGTCCCTCTACTGCAACCCACTCCACCTCAGTCTTTCGTTTCCTCTCTCTCCTCCTTCCCTCTTTCCTCCAGCCCTGCATCTTTTCATCATGGGCCAACTCAATCGATAATGCGTTTTGCCATTCATCTCGTCTGACAGCTCAGCCGTGGAGCGAGGCCCGAGAACTGGTGTGCACGAAAGAGAGAGACAGATTGCAAAGCAAAGCCTGTGGCCGTCACCAGCCCAGGTCCTGGGTGACAGGCGGTGAAGGATTCCTTTTACAGCCGTGAACAAAATCGCGATCGGCTGCAGGTGGTAGGCAAGTCTCCGGCCTCACAGGCTTCACCTTAGAACCAGACCCCAAGGAAAAAAACTCCCAAAACTGGACCCCCCCCCCCCCCATGTCATTTACTTATTCAGACTTCTCTTTTGTCCCAGTATCATTAGAAACATACAGACTTGCACGTAACTGCATTCGCTGGATATCTGTTCCTCTTTATCGACCCCTTCTGTCTGGTTCAAAATGGCGGTGAACGTGACGCCAATCCGAGACACGAAGTGGCTGACTTTAGAGGTCTGTCGGGAATTTCAGAGAGGAACGTGTTCACGACCGGACAGCGAGTGCAAGTTCGCTCACCCTGCCAAGAGCTGTCAAGTGGAAAACGGCAGAGTCATTGCCTGTTTTGACTCACTCAAGGTGAGTATGACAAACACCTGTGATTATCATTCATCACTGCCCTGTCTTTTCGTTTAGTTTTTTCAAGCTTCCAGGATCGTTAATGCTAGATTCAGTCACTGATGCAGAAAATATATGGAAATCCTGCGTAACATGGGACAACGAGGGACACTTTTCAGGCAACAGTTTCTTTATGGTTGCAAGCAGGGATCTTACTAGAGAGTGACACAGTTGTACCATGGCAAAAGGATAAAAACATATCTGTAATAATACTTTAGAGAGAGAGTGCGTGTGTGTGTGCGCACGCTGAGATTGGCCATAATCACATAAACATCTGTGAATCAGACTCAGAGTTTCCTCCACTAGAGCACAACTTTAGCATGGGACCGTCTGTTGGCACACTGCTTCAACAGGCTGAATGGGAAATATAGAAGTAGGACAGCACACTGTGCATTTCATGTTTGTATGTGAGTCTCCAAGTGATTTGTCTGTGTGTTATTTTGAGGTCGTACAGCACAGTGGGGTGTTCTCAGAAGGCTCTGTAATTTACTGTCTATTTTTGCCCTGGCACTGAGACAACACACTCCCACTATGCAGCTCCTCACTTCTCTCTGAGACGAGGGGTAGAGAAAAAAAAGAAGAAGAGGGAGGAAAATAGAATGGAGTGGGCCAGGAAGTTGTTGGAGAACTATATATTGTATTAAGGGATTCATTAAATAACACTGCAGGCAAAATCTGTTTAACCCATGCTAAAAAGCACATTTGAGAGTCTGCGGTGCCAAATTTTAATTTCGATCAAGCAACAACAAAAATTCAAAGTGATTTTTATTTTTATTTCAGCAATACCTTTTGTCACAAATTGCGTCAATGGTATTCTCCATGAAAGTACTGCTCATATTAATAAAGTTCTGATGCTTTGCCCATTACGTTTTAAATGGATCCCGATTGCTTGGATCATATTCACTTTGTTTTTGCCAGTCCAGGAAGAGCAGTGTACAGCCAAGAAGTCATTGGGAAGTGCAGTGTTGGATGAGCACAGGAGGTTGACACTGGAGGCCAGTGTCTTCAGCCACGTGTCTTCTTGTTTTGATTTGTCAGTTTTGTGCATTAGCGTTTAAATTTTTGCAACTAAATACGTAACACAAAGTACTAAGTACGTGATGGATTAAAATTGTAAACTGATGAGGATGCTGAGTGAAAAGTGATCATGAGATGTTTTTCTTGATTCTCAGGGGACCATGAAATGCAAACACCATATTTCAGTCAGTCTCGAAAAACAACATGAACCTCATGGTGATGCCAGGCAGAGTCTGGTGATCACCAAAATCATTATGGTTTATCCTCTTGGGACTATGAATCCCTAAAAGTTGTAATAGATGAGATATTTCCATTTCAAATCAACAGGTCAACATTTTTTCAATATAAACTGTAACCAAAGCCCCTTCATCTAACCTGGATATTATGGTAAAATTAAACCATGACTGTTATGCAGATACAATGTCTTCACTGTGTTTCATGTGATAGCAAGTCAACAATCATTGAAGTACATTTCTCGCAAATTGTTTTCACAACAAAATTGACAATTTCTAGGAGCCAGAAAGAGAGAAGATGAGACTCCAAAGAAAATATATTAAAATATGACAAGTAGCACAATTAATACAAGTAACACTTTTAATTTACCAACCACAGTGAGTCTGTGAAAAGTCAGCTGTGGCAGTGTGTGCCATCACTGAGAGCTAATTGTAATCACTGTTTCTCTGTAATAGAGTATTTTCAATAGACAAGTATGGGACATGCAGAATATACGTTAGAGGCATAACTTATGCACACGTTGCACAAACCTCACTCCACCATAGTTCAGAATACTGCCTTAATATTCCAGATGCTGTAAATGTGTTGGATGCTGTGATATCTGTTATGTCAATCTGTGTATTTTGGATGAAGTGGGCTCAGTAGTTCTGGATCTGACACTTCTGTCTACCGTGTTTTGCACATGTCCTGTAATTTGTCTCTTATCTGATTGGTAAGCAGGGTGTTATCCAGTGTAACTGGACACCAGATCTGGAAGTCAGTCAAGCCAGGCCAGGCCACACCTTGGTTTATATGGGGGAGGATTTCTTGTTAAGCCAGGCACTGTGTTATTACTGTTATGGGCTGCTTGGTCTGGATGGCCGGGATGGGTTTGGCTGGCACAGGTAAGACAGGAATAGATAAGGGGGACTGCTGGGGCATCTCGTGGATCATGAAAACAGACAGGCAGACTGAGCCGGAGAGGGCACAGCAGGGAATGTGTGAAGAAGCGTAGCAGTAAGCTTAGAGCCCTTCCCTGCTCCCAGTGCCAGGGCATTCCACAGTCTACCTCCCTTCCCTGCCTCCATGACAGAATGATAGATCTGCTGTATCTGCAGATGAATTCATAACACATAGCTAGGCATGGAGAGAGGGGCAAGGGGATCGGGAAGGACAGGCGGGAGGATGTGGAGAGAAAAAATAAAAGGAGCAAAAGGGTGGATTTTGGTACACGTGGCTTCACACTCCTGGACAATTTGTCATACCACCTACCCTTCATTCCTTCTGAATTCAGGCTGAGAAGGAAGGGAGGGCTTGTAGCAGGAGGGATAGAAAGACATATGGGTAGCTCTCCCTTTGTATTCAAAAAGTCTTTCTCAGATTTAAAGAATGCACTTTGTTCTTTATCATTAAACCACAGCCTAAAGATTTCTTAACAGTTGGAGTCTGCATGTCTTTATTTCTCCTTCCCTCTCTCTCATGAACTTCAATCAGTAATTCAGTGTTATCTAAAAAAAGGTGTTTGTCAGGGTTGATTGTAGTGGAAAGTTCCATTTGATGGGTGACGTAGCAGAGGATGAAGTGATAGAGGCAGACAGGAAATGAGTCAGAGGTAGCCTGTAGCATTGGCTGATATTACAGAGAAATTGACCCTCTCAGCCTGGAAACACAACAGCAACAGGGACCTTGCAATGGACGATACACAGGACAATTTGTCTTTTTACTCATTTACTATTGTCAGTGCAAGATTTAATTTCATGGAATTCAAATGGATGAGTTTTAATAATAGTTCAACATCTGCTAGGAAGCATTTAGAACACTGGTGTTTGTTCGAGTGCTCTTTTTTCTGGCAAGTTTGGATGATTGACAGCTGAGACTGACTCCTGATTGGTTGAGTGTGTTTATGGGTTGGTCCTTTCTATCCTGGTGCCATCACGTCCATTACTAAAGACTCTGGCTCCAAATGTTCAAAATTGCAGCGCTCGTATCTGAAATATTTCCGCATTATTTCTGTGGGAGGAAGTGCAGATGTATAGATCATCTTTTTATACAGTCTACGGTTGTGACATTGCTAAGATAGCTATATGTTCACATCAAGCCTTTTTATATTCCTACATCAAGGATCATTTAATGTATTTTATGTCCCTCTAGTCTCTGGATGTTTATTAATTAAATTCATTCAAGTGTAGTTTTTTTGCATTTGCAGTGTTTAAACTTTTTTTCATTTACTGTCTAATCCACCATATCTCTCCTGTTATTTCCTCATTCTGTTTTCTTTCATTACATCCTCCTTCCTACTTCATCATGTTGTCATCCACTNGCAAATAATTCTTGGTAGAAGAATTACTGCTTGTCTGCTTGCACAACCTTGTATGAGTCCTTCTGGACCAGTTAATGTGGAATTTAAAAGTAACAGTTCTTTCTGGGGTTTTTTGGCTCCTATGGGACCTGAGCAGGTTGTTGCTATTAGGTAACAACTGAGTATCATTTCGTCATAACATTTCTCATTTTCTTATGTTGTTATAACCTAAACTGCAGCATAAGATGTGTTTGTTATCATTCATTCTATGCATTTTCTGAAATATTTCTTGTTACAATATAGTTTATTGTTGTCACAAGAAATGTGTCCTATTAAAAAGTAATTATAATATGAAAATATCCTATTATGAGCTGAAAATATCTCGTGAATTATCACAATTCATGTTAGATTCCTCCAACTTATATTCTTTTTGCTGAATACTACAATGACCTTCTTTACTCTGCAACTGCTGCACACCGTCTTTTACATCAGTAAATGTGAAAGGTCACTTTATTGTTAAAGATTTGTTATTTATTTATCCTTAAACATGTGACTTCAAGAAGTGAAGTGGGTTTGTTTGATGAATCAGGGGTGTGGTGTCAATATGACAAGTTGTGAACACTCATCTCCTTCTTTTTTTTTTTGTAAAACGGGAGCCTGTGACAGCTAATCAATTTTTATAAACCTGTCACATTATTGGAAGGCAGTCGAGCAAAGGTAGTGGGTCACTACAGCAATCAGTCTAACACTAAAGGGTTCATACTGAATTAATATTTTAGCTTGTAGTGTTCAGTTTGGTGTTTAGAAGTGAGCAGCAGGAACAAGTGACAACAGACTATTTTTGTCCTTATTTTTTATCAGAAATATATACATGTATTGCACATGTTTTGTTAACTGTACAACTGCCCAGTGAAATAATTCGAAAGTTTGAATCCAATGAGTGGTCAAATCAAAAGTCTGTAATGCTTACATTCAATAGCAGTTCTACTAGCCTTGATTTAGTGTCATTAAGTTTATGCGACATGTGTATTTGACCTTCATGATCAATTCAAATATGTTGTTTAAATGTATAATGTTTTTAATGGAGTTGAGCCAGCACCACTATTTTTTGGAATATATTTTAAGCTTGTACATGGAAGATCAGAAGAAGTTCTTCAGATGCCAAAAAGCACATACATTTTAAAGATTTCAAAACACATACAGAGCTGTGTTTACACAAAATACAATCTATGACATGTTAACCAGATAGAACATCATTAGAGAAAAACAAAGCATTTGTACGTTTTTTTTCAATATTTTTGTGTAGTGAATAACGATCCCTCTTAAGTAACAGCACTAAATATAATATTTAATATACAGCATGTGTTAAATAATTGCAGTGTTTGAATCAATTTGGTAAAAATATTTTTGTAATATATGTAACTATAGGTGA